TCCTCCTCTTCCTCCTCCTCCTTCTCCTCTTCCTCTCCTCCTTCTTCTCCTCCTCCTCCCTCCTCTTCCTTCTCCCTCCTCCTCCTCCTCTTCTTCTTCATGTGATACATATCAACCCCACATCCTCAAATATGTTAGACAAACTTTGCGCCAAGTTCTGCACTCCCACCCCAAGGAAAATTTCTTAATTTCTTGAACTTTATAATTTTTTTCTCTGTGATACTGGGGATGCTTACACCAGTAATAATACACAATTACTGACATTTATATGTGGGTTATTTTGTGACATGCACTATTTCAACACTTTGCATTTGCTCATTCTTTTAATCTTTACATCAAGTCCATAAGATGAACAACAGATAGCCCCCATTTTAGAAGTGAAGAAACTAAACTGCAGAGAAATTGTGCAACCTGGCCAAACTTAAACAACTAACAAGTGGTTCAGCCAGGTTCATGTTTCTTCTGGCTCCAGAGGACAGACTTTTACCCAACTTATAGCTGTCTTGTAAGAACTATTTAATGCACACATGCAAAACAGTTAATTTACCTTGACATTTTGAAAGTGATTCATAAATTTGTCTGATGTACTACATTAAAAAAGGCACACAGCATCAACTTAGTGACTTTTATTGGCAATATTGTGAAATGCTAAATCATAAAAGACAAATAGAACAAGAAAATAAAGAAAAGATAGATAAAACTTTCCCTAATGTCTGTTTCAGTTGGTAATATAACAATTGCAAAATTCGATATTAATATTTTTGTAAGAATAGAGTAATGAAAGTATTAATTTTTGGATTAAAACATTAATGAATGTTTAGTAAGTTAAAAAATAATTAGTAATTTTACCATCTTCTTCTATTGTACACATTTATAAGTTTAATTGTAATACTGAAATTATAATAGTGCTGCTATTAATTGAATAATAATATTTACAAGCATGCAAGAATAAAACTTTTAATATCAAATAAAATCAGTCATTCTGGGCATGGTGGTGCACACTAATAATTCCAGAACTCAGTAGGCTGATGAAGGAGGATTGCTGCAAGTTCAAGGCCAGACTGGGCTACAAAGTAAGTTCAAGTCCAGCTTGCACTGCATAGCACAACCTTGTCTCAAAAAAGGAAAAAACAAAAAAATCAATTTTCTTTGTTGTCACTGCAGAAAATGCTGAGGTTTCTTTGTAGAGTGCATGAACGCTCTTTCACCATGCACTTTTTACTCTTCTGGTCTAAAATATATTTACTTTAACTCACTAGCTTACAGGACTCGCATCTTACAACCATTAGTCTTAGGGTTTGAAGTCTAGCATAAACATTGGAAAAACTTATCAGGGGAAAGTTTGAAACCAGATACTTTAAAGCTAAGACACTGAAGATTCTCTACCTATGTATTTAAAAAAAATCATTGAGAAGCATTCTCAGCTTGACTCTTTAGGCTCCTCGATGTTATAGTACATCTTTTAGTCATCATGAGCACATCTAGACTAACATCCAAGACAGAAAAATGAACACAAATGGGTTTGAAAATAAATGCTCAGATGAAAAAATGCAATGGAGCATGGTGGTTCATGTCTGTAATACCAGAACTCGGCACGCTGAGATATGAAGATTGCTACAAGCTTACCAGCAGCCTGAACTACACAGTGAGACCCTGTCTCATAAGAAAAAAGAAAGAAAATGCGAAGCACAGCACAGTGTTTAAGCAAAAATTAGAAAATAAGCCATGACTTGTGTGCTATTACTGGGATTGCTTATTTCCTTCTTCCATCTCTTAACCAGCCTTATCAGAATGCAATGTGATTTTGAAACAAAATAGAGTTTATCTCAATTTTGTTGAGATAAACAGTAAGAACAGATGTCCTGGATAAAGAAGAATGTAGAAAGTTAAGTCTTCACAATCCTGCCTTTCCAGGTAGGTAGAAAAATTTTGTCAGGAAGTAGATTAAGCAGCTGATCCCTGGCCTTCCAGTATTTTCTGTATCAGTTTCTTGACTCCAGGAGCATCTGGATCCAGGCAGATTCTTTTCCCCTCTTTCAGTGTGGCTCTGCAAAAGAGGACAGAATCATCTGTGAGCATCCTCTCTTGGGGAATAGAACAGATGCAGGAGATTGGAGGAGATGGTGCAGGTGGGGCAGAGGTGGAGGGCTTCCTGAATAATGCAGAAGCAGGGACTTACAGCACTTCGACTTTGGGACAGTGAGCTCCTGCCTTGATCACCTCCACACTGGAAATCTTGCTGGGATGCACTCCAGAGACCGTTCTCAGACACAGGCAACGCAGTTCAGCAAATGTATCCACATTTTCAGCTGTGGTAGAACATGGGACTCTGTTAGTGCTCACAGTTATTTTCCTCAATTTTGATGTTTTGTAAATGGAAGATACTTGCACCTCCCCCACAAGGCCATTATTAATACGATCTGTAAACCTTTAGTATCACACCTAGCAGATTGCCAAACACATGGGTGCAAAGTGCCCAGCACACACATGACCACCACTTAGAGTTGGCAGGACAATAGCATTCTCCGGCCCCAAGAGCCTCCCACCCTTGCTGCAGGAAAGGAAAGCCTCTAGCCTTGCTTTTACTCCATTTCTCTTACGTTGTCCATTGATTGCAGGAACCAGAAGAGTCAGGAGCTGTGACAGCAGCAGCAGTCCCCCCAGGATGCGATGCAGGCTGGCACTGGGGCAGGAGGAGGTGGCCTTGAGTCTGAGGCTCATGGTGGAGAGGTTGAGCCGTAGCTGTTTCTGAGTCAGAACACTGCAACCAAAGGGCAGTACTGCCTACAGGTCTGTAGCACACAGCTTTATATGCCTTTCATGTGGCTTGGATCCCACTGTGCTGTGGCCAGTGAAGCGGAAGAGGTTGCCTGGGGAAGCGAGGGTACGTGGCGATATACCCACACAAGCATGGCCAAGATGTGCCCAGCCCTGATAAATGCCACACAAGTCAGAATTTCCACTAAGTTAGTTACATTTTATTCATCATTTCCCATTCCTAATCTCCTTTTCTCAACACCGTGGTTAAGCACCCTGCGTGAGCACCCTACTTGGGGAAGTTGGACTGAAAAGCTATGTGTACCTTCTTTGTGTGGCTATGTAACATTGCATCATGCCTTTTGTATAATGCATTCCTAGGCTTGGTAGAAATTTACGAGCACCTGAAAGCATAAGCTGTGGTCTTTGAAGAAAGACTTTCCTTTTCTTTTCAAATGGCAGAAAAAGCAGACGGCCCTGCTCTAGGTGCGATGAATGTCAGGATCTGTTTGGCACACAGGCAAGCTATGAGCCATCCACTTACCATCAGACACTCACCTTGATGCTTAGCTTACAGACAGCTGCCTTCCAAAGAATTTGTCTTTTGTAATTTCATCCAGAAAGATAAAGCAAGCTCATCCCCCTTTATACTTTAAAACATGTTTCAACTTTCTCATTGCACCCAACAAAGCAAGACCCAACATTTTTCTTTTTTTCTGATCTAACAGAGACAAGTGATGTAATCTTTTGTACAAGATTCATACACAGCAGGTACATTTGGAATCAAATGCACACTTCTTTCAAAATCATTTCGTATTACTGTCATTCAAATGAAGCCACCAGCAACAATTAGTATTTGTCTTATAGTCTGTCTGCATTTATATACATTCATGCGTATGTAGACAGAGAGACACGCATATTATACAGAAATATACTTGTACATGCCTGGAGACAGACATCGGATTTTTATACATATGAAATCATTTTATAGAGCTTATCCATCTTCAAAACTGTGAGTGAATTATATAGATTTTAACATTATTAATAATGTCTTTCTTTTTTATCCAATATAACCGTCCACACTCTTGCTTGATCTTTAACACTACGCTAACCTCTTTCTTAGCTGCTACACTTAGTAAGGTAACTATAGAATGTCTTCTGAGATAATATTACTTGAATTTATTGGTACCTGGAAAGAAGTAGGTACATAGCACAATTGTAGTAAGCCAGGAAGTAGTAAAATTTTTCTTGTTATAAAAATTTTACAGGCCCATTATTCAATATTTAAAATAAAAGAACTTTATGCTACTATGAATCTATTCAGGAAATATTGATTAGGTGTCTATTGTGTGCTACACATTATAAAATTCTCATATCTGAATTAGTTGCCCCAAACAAAAAGATAAATAACACTTTAAACTGCTACTACTAACACTCTGGTGACTGCTGTTGTTAATTGCTTTCTTTCATCTGTATATTTTCCTTTCATCTCTACCATTTATACAAATGGTGATAAACTGTTTGAAAATTGACTAAAGACTAAAATCAGTTATTCTATTAAAAATAGCTATTTTATACAAAATTATTACTTAAATTAGTGCTAGAGGTAGAAGCAACTGCCACTGTTCTGGAGTTTTTAAATGACTTGGCAGCCTTTTTGTGAATCTTCATGGTCATCCTGTTGCTGCCTTTTAAAAAAATTTGTGGTAAGTTATTTTATCTTTTTCCTTCAAGTTGCCTCATAAATCGCAAAGTCATTGAGGAAATAAGTTTTCAAAGACCTAAGTTAAAACGTATCTCTTAGTTATTTTAAGTAAAATATTTAGAAACATTGAAAAACATATTTAGAGACATTTAAATAAAATATTTAGAGACCATGAAAATTAAGATGTGCATGAACTTTACATTTTTTCATATAATAGTTTGAAATCAAACCCTTCTTCCAAGTATAAAAGGAGTTTTCATTGCAAGTCAACAGCAAGGATAGTTAGTACAGAAATCCTAGGGTTAATAACACTTCGGTTTATTTAAAATTTCTCAAGTCCCAAGGGCTGGCCTGACTGCTCAGCCGACTAAAGCACCTGCTTAGGAAGAATGCAGCAGCTGGCATGTACCATGAGGCAGGGATTGAGACTGGGCGTGCTGGCACATGCCAGTAATCCCAGCACTTGGGAGGCTGAGAACAGGAGAGCCACTATGAATCTAATCTACATAGTGAGAGCATAGACCCTACAGAGCCTGTCCTAAACACAGAAAAAAAAATTAAAAGTTCCTTAGACAACAAATTAAAACTGTAGGCAACAAAAGGTTTTCCCTATGTACGGAAGACAGATGACTTCTATAAAACTGAGGTGACAAGTTGTCCAGACTCAAACTAACTACCTGAGGTTTTGCTGTACTGCGTAGAGATAGTAGGGAGACAACCTATTGAATCCTGCAACATTGGTTCCCTGGGCGTTTGCAGGCCTCAGAATTCGTGTTAGAATAGTGTTTTCTGCGTATCAAATCCATGACTACATAATCACTCATTTGAGGAAACCCTAATGCACTCTTGCTCGTGAATGTGTGAACTCCCTAAATTGCTGCCCTCTTTTACTGTGTATCAAATCAACCCCAAACTAGATGGCTTAAAACAATAGCTAATTATTTCTAATTATCTGCTCTCTCTGTCCTGTGCTCACTTCTGGGAGTCCAGTTAGCCTAAAAGAAGCCCAAGGTCTCCTTCATGATGGAGCCTCTGCTGCTGGCTCCACAGTGGCCCTGAGGTCCCTCCACATCTTCCTCCTCCAAGTGATGTTGCTTCTCAGTAATAAACTGAACAGTGAGGGTGGGGGAGGAGAGCAGAGAAGGAGAAAGGAAGAAAAATCCTTGTCTTCCCACCTCCCTCACTTCTCCTCTTCAGTCTTTCTCACCACCTTTCCTTTCCTGTTTCTTCTCCTTCCATCCTCACTACTTTCAAGAGAATCTTTGTCTTATGGGACAGCTGAAGAATTTGCTATGAGAAGATCTTCACTCAGGATGAAAACTCTTTATCATAATCTCTACATCATAAGTGTCCTGCACAATGTCTTGTATGAAATTATCAGTAAATGTCAATAAGTTGATATTTGACTGATATATGATTTATGAATGTTTATAAGAAAGATGATGGGTCATGCATCTTGATAAAAATATATAAAAATCGATAGTAAATACATAGGTACATAGAGAGCACATCAAAAATGTGTTTACCAGGCAAAGAAAAACTTATATAAATATTTCAATACTTAGATTTTAATACTGAGACATTATGAGATTAATAAAGTTACTCATGGCTTCTACAATTATAGGAGGTGCTTAAAGTGGTGGACATCAGCTTACAGATATTTATTAGTATGATGAACTGCTGAAGTGTGAAGACATTTTTTGGCAGACTCTATAGTTTCCATAATTCTCTTAAATAAGAATCAGATATAGATTTTTAGAAGTACTAAAAACCATTCAGACATAGGTAGAGAAAATACAAACAGATTTAAACCCACTAAGGTTGCTGAAGTATCCAGGCCTCAATTTTCTTATTGTGGGGGAATTTGAATTAAAAGACTTAGGAAAGGAAATATCTGTGTGAAAGTAGATTTGCAGTATCTGTTTTGTTCAAGGAAAGCTCTTAATGACCGGAGATGGGTATTATCCTACTAGGTTTGCATGAGAGAACTGAGGAAGGGAGATGTTAGATAAATTGTCAAGGTCTCATAGCTAGAAATACTTAGAACTGGATCTAAAAGGCCACAGGTCTGACTGTGTACTCTGTACTCCTGCTCAAAGTCCAAGAGGACTTTCCAGGAAAGGCTCTTCCTAGAAATCAATCACTTTTCTCTTTGTCCAGCTGTGGAAGTGGATCAGAAACAGGCATCATAAATTTACATGGCAATGCAAGCACATCCATCAAAGGTGTTTTCCAAGGGTAAACGTGGGGGTTAAATTTCTCTATATTTAAGAAATTGGGCTGTAGAATCTCCAGAAGCAAAATTTTATATCTAAACTATACATCTTCATGTGTCATTATCTCTTTCTACATTCTGGAAGTACAACCATTTTCTCTTGGGAATATAATATAAATTCTGTGAACTCAGGTTCTCAGTAAGAATTAGAGTCATAGTATACTCTCCTCTTCCTCCATTTAGTCATGGAGGAAAGGCAGACTCACATGTGCCTGGGCTGTCTGGTAAATTTTTCACTTTGTGGCAACCAGGAAGAACCTCTGAGGTTACATAAATGAGAGTTACCCACAACAGTTCTTTTCCTTGTTCAAGAATTAAAGATATGACAGAAAAACAAACCCATTGGTCATATTTTGCCATAGATCTTGTCATACCTTCAAGAGTTGAATGACTAGTGAGTGTGTCACACCAAGAAGCAAGCAGGAAGGGCTGGTAGGATAAAAGAAGACCATTATATATTGGAAATTGTCTTCATTTTACTAATTATATAAAGTGGATCTTAGCTGACCATTTACTTAATTCCAAGTGATTTCATGTATGAGAGGATCTTTCAGTTGGATAATAGAGTGAAATAATGTGAATTAGCCTGAGCAAACGATTAGACATATATCTAGAATACACCTTAGGTAAATGTCCCCAGATCCATCGAACCTTTCACTTGTCAGTGGGAAGTTCAGCTAGTGATGGTAGAAGTGATGCCCAGCATTTGCCATTGGGGTCCACAGATGGAGTACACTTTGGAAGTACATCGTCATATATTTTTTCTCTGTAAACAACCATTGTATAACCAAAATTGTACAATGAGCATGGCCACGAGAATGCAAAGATTACAGAGAAAGCCTAGTTCTGTGGTCTATGCATGAACTAGACTCATAGATCTTGCTTCAGACAAAAACAAGGATCTCAAATGATGATAAAACAAGAAGAAACCAGTTGGGATTATTTATTCAGGAAATTTTAATTTTGTTATCTAAATGAATGTTAATATGTTTTCCCTTATCAGTATCCTCAGGAACTAATCAGTGCATATTTTGGAAGGCAGCTATGCTCACCACTATACCACCACTGCCTCTCAGTGCATATTTTGGAGCTGATACAGCACATCAATGATCTTTTAGGACAGTGAAATTTAATATGCAGCATTTATGCTAACTTTGTTTGCTTTTTAGTGCTTCCTATAATTCATATATTCAAAATATGAGAGAGCAAAGAGAGACCATGCATGCTTAATGTTTTTTAAACATTTACAGATATTTTTAATTTTTTCATATTGTTGAAAACCTTGCCAGGAAATCCATATCCTTGATGCTGTTCTAGTTTTTCCCATATATTTGTATCTCTTTGTCTCTATCTTTGTGTTATAAAGATATACATCAGCATATAATAATAGAAACTCTATCAACCTAATTGAGATTTTAAGTATGATGGAGATCATAAGATACAGAAAAAACTAGATTATACATAGATACCCTAATAATATATTAGCATGCTAATACATACAAATACATATACTAGTTAGATTACTCTTATTCGTTTCTTTTTTAAAGAATTGGCTAATTTTTGAAATGCTTATCATAAGGTCACTTGTAAATTTAAATGCCTCCTGTGTGCTGGGCACTGTTTTAGCAACTGAGGTGAACAGGGTAAGTATTGTCTCGCCTATATGCAGATTACAGTGAAGTTGGAATACATCAACATTGAACAAATGATCTCTGAAGACAGACTACACACCCTATATTCACCTTGGCAAGAAAATATTATAAAGGAAAAATAAAAGTGCTATTAAAGGGTAGAAAGTGAGCTGTACTCTGGAAGGAAGAAGAGTCAGAAATGTTGGCTCCAGGATGGGAGAGGAAGGGTTGGAGTTAGTCTGTTCAAAGGGAGGGTGTGTGTTACTGATGAGGAGACAAAATGTGCCAAAGTCTTCATTGGGTTACCTGCCCACAAGGAGGACAGAGGCAGGTAGGGAGCTTTCTCAGAACCTGGGTCAGGATATCTTATGAACTCTCACAGTTATTCTGTGCCACACTTTGGAGATGTGGAGTTGGAAATATGGTTGATGATGGGAGAGTTCTTAGTAGACTGGCTTGGAGAGAGCTAGAGATTAATGACAGCAATGAACTATGGGTTATAATGTGGGTACATGGAAGATGCTGTGGCAACATCAAAATGGAAAGCAGGCTTTCTGCTGGGAGTGTTAAGGCAGCTCCAGGAAGAGGTGTCTCCAAGGCAAATTCTAAGGGTTGAGTCATTTTCTTCCTATGCACAGAAATGGATCCACTTCCTTCCAGGTACAACCACAGCAAATGCAGAAGCTCAGGCCCAGGAAAGAACATGCCTGGCTGGGAATAAGCTCCTGGCTACAGGAGTGTGAGACAGATAAGTGTCAATGTGATCGGCAGTGAGCTAAGACAGAACCTCCCTCTCCATGCTTATGAAATGGGATGTGTTATACTCAGTTGAAATGCTCAGCTTGAAAAGGAGGAGAGGTTTATTTTGGCTGAGGGACTTTGTCAGTCTGTGATCAATGGGCCTTGCTGGTGTGGGTACAATGGATACATATGCAGAAGCACAGAGTAGACAAAGCCATAAGGCAAAGGAAGAGAAGGGCAGGACTTGGGTCTCAAGATCCTCTTCTAGTGCCTACTCTGACAACCTAGGACCTCTGCACATTCCTACTTCTAGGAGTTCACTGTCTCCTAGTGGACCAGGCTGGGGACTCAGCCTTTGACACCAGGTCCTCTGGGGGCTACTCTACACTCCCTCACAGTTGGGAGTAGTGAGGGTTGGAGACAGGGGAGTCTTCTCTGTGTTTCTGGAAGACTCCAGAGAACTGAGGAGGGAGCTGGAAGGGAAGTGTGAGCAGCATGACTGAGGGGTGCAAGGGCATGGGCAAGTGGGCTTCTCTACAAGCAGAGAAGAGTGAAGGCTTTAAAGTGATGTAGAATCACTGCTAAATGCAACCCATCTTTAAAGTAAAAGACAGATGAAACAATTTGGGCGAAGTTTAAAAATCTTTATTTTTTTCTCCCAAAACACAAATAAGTAGTATAAGCCAATCTAGCATATAATTTTTAAAGTGCCATTTTAATATAGTGGGTGTGATACATATATTCTTTAAGCTATAACAAAATACTCAGAATCTTTTAAATTCTCTTACAGACATCTAAAAGTCTTAGCAATGCTGTGTACTTCAGAAAGCTTAAATAATGAATTGATAATGCAGTATATTAGATGTATTTCCAAAACTTTCAGAGTAAATTTGTTATTTAAAAAGCAAATATGTTTCTATAGGAACTAGAAGCTCAGCATGTGCCTGTTTTTTATCCTCTTCATCTGCTCAAAACATATATTTAGTGATGTAAATTATAATATACCTAATGATAGTTAATAAATAGCATATAAAAATCAAAATTTAATGAGTATCATGACATTATGCCATACTGAGAAGACATTAAATGTCTAGAGTTGTAGGGAAAGAATATACTATTCCTTATAGAACTTAAATATTTAGAAATTCTAAATAAGGAAATATTCTACATAGAATCGTGTATGACATACCCAATTTTCTTATACACGTAAGATTACTTAAAGAGCATACCAGTTGCAGAGCAAGGAATTCTGTGACAAGTTATCCCAGAAATAACACTAAAATATTTTCTATTTCAAGAGATTTCTCTCTCTCAACAGCATTGTAACAAAACATGATTTATTAAACCATCAGCCTTTCACTGACAGTGCAAGGAATATGTCCTAGAAATATTAACACCAATGATACTTCACTCAGTACAATTAACTGCCAGGCAACAGCGAACAGCAGGAAATATTACACTAAACACTTCATAAACTAAGCAAAAACTCAGCAGCAAACATTGCCTGGTCCTTTTCAGACCAGGGAATCCTCACAGAAAACTGCTGGGAAAAAACAATCATCCCTTCTTTCTTTTCATTCTCGGATTCAGAGCCTCCACAGAAGCAGAGCTCCCGCTCTCTGCAGCACTGGACATCGCTGCCATTGCATGCTTCTTTCTCTTGATCAGTTTTGCTTAGTTCCACTGCTGAGGAAAAAAACCAAAAATGACAATTTAACCAAATTTCCATGCCCTGGTCAACTCCAACCCTATTTTCAAACTATAGTGCTGGAGACAGTTGGCACAAGCAAAAGGAAAAAGGAAAGGCAAAGCTCAGATAAAAATGCATCTGTGAGTGTAAAAAGCCCCAGTGCTCCTGCGTGAGCAACAGTTTAACAGGTGAAAAAGTCACACCAATGCTCCAAGTCCACTACCTCTTCTCCTTGCCAACCTCTGAATCTTTAACCCAGTCTGGAAGGTGATACTCAAACCCTAGAGTAAGTGCTTTGGCAGTATCTGTTTGCAAGGAAGAGACGAATAAAACCCCCACAAAGACTACAGAGCCTAGTACCTGTCCAGTATTTTCTGGATAACTTTCTTGAACAATGGGGCTTCTGGGTCCAGACAGATTTGTTTCCCGTTCTTTAAGGTGGCTCTGGAAGAGAAGAGGACACATGGTGAGCCGGCTTCTGCGCAGACTGGCTGTAGGATCCCTCTCTCCCTCTCCCAGAACCACGTGGGTCCCTGCGGTGAGCACTTACACCACTTCCACTCTTGGACACTGCGGGCCTGAAGCAGTCACTTGCAGGCTGGTGATCATTTTGGGGTGGACACCCGGCGTGATGGTCAGACAAACGCAGCGAAGCTCTCTCGTTGCTGCGACAGGACCAGCTGTGGGAGAGACACTGCCATTACAGGAGGGTCTGGAAACAGAGGGCAGAGGATGGGGCGTCCCATCCTCTTGGGGCGCAAGGCACGCGGGTTCCACCTCATTCTCGGCGTCCCCTAGTCCTCACCGTGCACTCGGGGCTCCAGCGACAGCAGCAGCAGCGCGAGTAGCGCGCACAGCAAGCTGGTGGTGTGGGAGGCGCGGCAGGGCACTGGGTGCATCTTGAACGTGGAGCTGGGCAAGGCTGAGGAGGCGCGGTTGGAGGCTCGGAGCGCTGTGAATCTCCAGCCCTCCGCGCTCTTTTTATCTGCATGTGCACGGGTCCCGGAAACTGGAGTGCGGACTGCCCCGGGAATTCTCTAGGTTTGGGGGTGAGGGGCTGGGGTCTGTGGAGGCGAGACGGAGGCGAGGCGGAGGCGGAGAGAAGTGCGCACAGCCCCGCCCCGCCCCTGGTGCTGGACCTGCTGAGCACAGAGGACCTTGATTTGGGTGGCCCTTGGAGGACAGAGTTAGGGAAAAGCTCCTGCCACCATTTAAGGAGCAACATTGTGACTCAAGGGGTTGTTGGAGAGATTTTGGGGGACTCTGGTTGTTATGATCTTTATGATTATTCAAGAAGTGTAATCTGTGCTCACAGGAGTGCTAGAAACCCAGACTCCTGTCTTCCTCTCAGGCCTTGTGCTAAGGTTTCCCGATTGCTTAAGGGCTTTGGGTTCCAGCCAGTTTCTCAAGCACAGTGAATCGCTTGAAAACGCAAGTAAGCGGCAGGAACTGGCTTCAAAATCAAATCTGATTACTGAAAATCCTATTCTTAAAGTTTAGTAACTGTATGTGTTTCAAAGTGGTTTAAAAAAAGAAAAAAAGAACTTCAAAAAATCACTCAACAAACCTCCTAGAAGGTGATACTTCTCTCGTGGCAGTACACTGCACTACTGAGTTAGAAAGTTTTGGTCTTCCTGGGCTGGGCAGGCTAGGTGAGTGCAGAGCAAAGAGACGGACGGTGGAGGCCCCCAGCCTGGCCTGGCTTCAAGGAAAGTTTGATCTGAGCTTTGGAATCAGCTTGGCAGAAATACAGCACCTACTCTGGCTTCTCCAGTACAACTTCACCAGGTGGGGGGTAGGGGTGGGAATTCCTCTCCCCTGGGTTTTGCAACCTTCCAGCTTGGTTTTTTAAGGGTGACCAATGCTATTGACAGAATCTCTTCTCAAGCCCAGAGCTGCCTCTGCAGCTGAAGGGTGTGAGGTGGTGCCCAGATCTCTCTCCCTCTCTGTCTCTGCTAGGCATAGTGAGATCACTGAGTTCCAGTGACCACTCTTCATCCAGTGGCAGTCATCACTGTGACATAGACTTTTCATTGGACTCTAACTAGATCTTCTTAGGATTGCCCTGAAGACCTTGGCCTCAAAGTCATGATGACAATCACAAACGACTCATCAAGTAAAATACTTTTCCTTGTCCCCTGTGAGCCTCGGGAATTTTTTAAGTTCCTCTACTCATCTTTCTTGGAATAACATCACCTCCAATACTGGACAACAACTAAATGTCATAGACCTCAGGACCTTTCACTCTGGAAGGAAACTGAGTCTGCTGAGGAAGGATGGGAGGTTTGTGGGAAGCTGAATGGGAAGTTCAGCCCAGCACAGCTTCCTGATACCATCAGCATCGCCCCTGACTCAGAGAATGTAATCCTTCATCTCGCCGGGTGTGGCAAGTGCAAAAAGCAGCCTGCAGTTTCATTATATTGACTTTGTAGAGATTAGAATGTGTTAAAACAAAAGATAAGCCTCCCTGAACTACCTGAGACAAAATGTCAAAAATGTGACCAAAGATCTTGAGCAATGAAATTCAACTTAACCACAGGGAAGAAACCACATTATAAGAGTGTGTGGGAAAAAGTTTATTGGCATTAAGGGGGAGAGGGAGGAAGAGAGAGAGAGAGAGAGGAGAGAGAGGAGAGAGAGAGAGAGAGAGAGAGAGAGAGAGAGAGAGAGAGAGAGAGAGAGAGAGAGAGATTTCTAAGCAAGCTGTTTTAAACATAAGTAAATGTATGAATTCATTTGCTGCACTGAGTGGTAAGATCAGATAAGAGTCACAAGATGAGCCTGCCATTTCCCTCTGACAGTCTCTTACATGCCTCAGCTGATTTGTACTCTGATTCAACTTATGGAGTATTTGCAGAGTATAAGGGGAAAAAATGTGCCTCCACTGGGCTGCAAATAGTCACAAAGTCCCCACTAGAGGTGGCACCACTTCATCAGGAAGCAGCATGTAATTCAACCTGACTTCTCATTGAAAAGGTCCTGGTCCCCTGCCGTAGCTGATGGTCTGAGTCTTGTTGATGTTGGCCTTCCGTAAAACATGGTTGAGAATAACAGTATCAGTGGGAACTGAGAGCTTTAAAAGCAATCACTGCTTTATTGCTATTTACAGAAATATATTTGTCTTCTTGAACTGCGAGTAGCTGACAGAGAAGAGCTCTGTGTTGTTTTTCCTCATTGTAATAAGGAAATCCACACAAAAAAATTCATCTTGAGAGCCTAAGAGAATTACTGCCTGTCAAAAGCAATCCAGTTTTGCCATAATAAAACAGACTGATGCATTATGAAGTCTTCCTCTGTTATCTACTGAAAGCAAGGCCAGAGAAAGACTTAGGAAAGAGAGAATCCACGGTTGGAAGATGGTGGCCTGAGATACTCTTTTTTAAAAAAATTTCACCCAAATTTTCTTTATTGGTATTTTTCAGTGCATGAATGAGTTGAAATAGAAAACTAGTAAAATAAAAGTATATATATCCCATACGTCTGGAGTCAACATTTTCATTTTTCCATATTAATTTTATCTAACTGTTTTTTTAACAGTTGTGAAACATTTTTATTATTTAAGTTAATGCTATTTATACATTTTTCAACAGAAATCTTTCATCTATTCATTTTTAAATTTTTTTTCCATAATTTTATTGAGAAATAAATAGCAATGAGACAGTTTCAATGTGACTGAGCCACTCTTAACAGTTTCTGCATTGTTTCCCTGCCACCAGCAAACACCTCAATGCCTCTCCACAGCTTGGTTAACTACTTGATTATGTTGCCCAACAACCATGATGTAAACTATTGAAATCCCCAGTCAGGCTCTCCACTACTGTCTTTAGGGCTGCGATTTATCAAAGGTCTTAGAGATTTTCCAGGGTTACCCAACTTGAAACCATCTTCTATTTTCTGTACTTCACTTTCTTCAATACAAGTCAGAAGCTCTGTCTGCTGTAACAAAATTTTTCCTGATAAAGCCATTTGAAATGTTTTCCTTTCACCCTTGGTCTTTAAACATGTCATGCACTTACCATTCTTTCCTGCTGAGCCAAATTTAGTTATTCTTTAATTTTGCTTTTGTCTCACTTGAGTTAACTAAAACGTTCTCTGAGTCAGTATTGTTGTCTTATATTTCTTGGATAATCCCCAATAAGTTCTAGGTTCAGTATTAAGCAGTCCAAGAGCATCTGATGATATATAGTTTCATGATAATTGCCTTTTATTTTATAGAGTTCATTATCCTAACAGTGTATACCAAAGATGAGGAGGAAAGGAAAAGGCTGTTCATTATCCTTACCCAGTCTCTGTTTAGGAGCTCCACTATTTTGACTTGACTTTCTGCTGTGTTGAAAAACATATCTATCTAGGCTATTCTTTGAGAAAATTCAAGAAATATTTTCAATCTTCAGACTCTGAACTATCCAAAAGAATGTTCAGAACCCAACACTATATTTGATATTAAAGGAAAGAAAAGTTTGCAACTGAATTATTGACCAAACTACATATTTTCTGTGACTTGATATTTGTTGAAAATAAATGGGTACAGGAAAATCTGATCATGTTACATTGAATGTTAACTATAAACCAGTGTCATATAATGGTATTAGTGTATGCTATAGATCTTTTCAAATGTATTTCTCATTTTCTATTTTCCTTTGTATTGACTATTCTTTATATGTTTCCTAAGAAATGCAGACAACTGCACTAATTAAGGATGTTGACCAATATAAGGTTAAACATATCAAGGATATCAAAGTGTGGAAGAAAATGAAAGTTTAAGTGGAGGAAAGACTCATTTGTATATACACAAAAGAAAAGGAAAAACCCAGTAACTCTCGGGATAAGTTTGCCAGATCAATGCAGATCTCTACCTCCTCCCACACCGGGGTTGGCTTTCCAGAGAAGAGGCAATCTCACAGAGGGAACCTGTCTGTTTACTGTTCAGTGCTGAAAATGTTCTCCATACTTTTCTTCGTTGCCCATTTTTCTCATAGCCCATGTCAGATTAAAGCTGCTTGAGAAAGGAATGAAGAGATGATCCTTAAATCTGTACCAAACTTGTTTTCAATAATCACTGCAAGATCATCGCTGGGTTCAGAGGTCTCTAGCTAATTGCAGCTGTGCAGATTAAAAAAAAAAAAACTGTTGACATGAAGAGATGATACAAGGGGAAGAAAAGATGCAGATTCAAGTTTTGAACGTTTGCGAAAATCCTTAGGCTTCTCAGAAATAGGAAGTATTTATTCCTTTCTTCAGAAATTTGATGTGGAATTAAACAAATAAATAAATGCAACATTTAGTGTTAGCTATTTCAGATGATTTTTTTTTAGCACACAATTTCCATGAACTTTATTATTGATGTTCCCAGTAGCATATGGTATAATTCTGAAAAATGACATACAACCTTACGTATGAATCCTGGCAACCCCTTGGCTGTCTGATGCTTTCGAGAAGATATTTGTATGAGCTGCAGGAGAAATTTCATGGAATTAGACTTAAAACACTGTACTTGACAATGTCCAATTGCTACACTGTTTCTAACCACAATTACCTCAATGGCATGTACCATTCTCTTGCTTGCCAACACTTATTTCATAAAAAAAGCTTTGTTCTGGTTGCTTTACTTGGAAGAGTCATAGTATTTTTATATGTGGGTCATTTATGCTTTATGGACAGTCGAATTCTGTTTGGAAAAAAAATAGCAAAACCCTAACATTTGACAAGTATCCAAAACAATGTTCATGAACTTGTAAGAAAATATGTTTTATAGATGACTCATTGCCATTTTTTGGTTCAATTTGATTATGAATTCTTAGTGAGTAACTGCATGAACATTGAAAATACTATTTTTACCAGAATTGGGAATAAGAAAATTACTACTACTGACATAAAAGATGTTGCAACACCAAGCCCAAAGTCATAGAATCCTAGAAATCCTGGCTCGTGTTGACCTTTGAGCCCCTTCCTAACCACTTCAGATTTTAAAGCATGACTTCCCAGAGTAAACTGATCAAGTCACTTTAACAAGATGTCT